GTTCAATAAAAAAATCTCTCTCAGCATCACCTTTTATGCTNGGCATCACCTTTTATGCTTGTTGATGAGCTACCAGAATTTCCATAGGTGGTGTGCTTTACCGAAGAAACAGGAATAAATTAGTTTTATAGGACATGCATTCTCAGCAAATTTTCATATTATAGGGAGAACAAAATTATCAGTAAGACATACTTTTACTCCGACTGTACAGCCAATTGTTTGAGGAGGGCGAGCAATGGAAGAACCATTGAGAATCAGATGAACAAGAGAAGTCTTCCCCACACCTATCAGAAAATATCAAGCAGAAAAAATGGTGAAACTAGGAGCTGAAAACAAGGAATCACTGTGTATAAATAAAAACAGAGAAATTAATATCCAGAACTTCTTACAAAGTTTGAATATCAAGGGGAGAAAAGCTAATGCCAAACAAGAAAGACTTGAACACTTAATAAGAAGACTACATCAGAATGAACTTAGAGTATATAAATTGGAAAGTAAAACCTAGTGTATCCAAAGAAACATTGATTGAATGTAATACACAAAGGGCATTTGAAAATGATATCCAAAGATAGTGATACATTTTGGATCGGGCAACTAAACCTAGAAGATAATTATTAGAGCNATAAAACCTAGTGTTTCCAAAGTAACATTGATTGAATGTAATACACAGAGGGCATTTGAAAATGATATCCAAAGATAGTGATACATTTTGGATTGGGCAACTAAACCTAGAAGATAATTATTAGAGCAAGTGAGGCTATTGTTTAGATTAAGTGTTCAAATGAGCAACCAGATTGTACATCCTGTTTTACATACTGTTGTATCGAAAGAAATTCATTTTACTCTTAATAATCATAATACAGCAACAACAACAACATATCTAGTGTGGTCCCATAATTGGGGTATGAGGAGAGTAGCGTGCACGCTGACCTTACCTCTATCTTGTGAAGGTAGAGAGGTTGTTTCCGATACTCTTAATAATCATAATGTCAAAAGAAATTCATTTTTTTTTCTTGATAAATATATCATCAGAAAAAAACTTCTATTTATCTATTCTTAATAATCAGCATTCCCATACACTTACACCATCACCAAACAACTCTTAAGAAGGTGTTCTATAAACTCTTAACGAATTAGGAATCATCTTACCATAGCTACGAACCAGACTGTACGAAAATACACAAATTAAATAGGTTGGATCAATCATTACAATATTTATCAAACAAATGTAACAGTATGCAGTACCCATATCCTCCAGTTTTAGTAGGTTAAAAAATTCTTGCAGTTATAAACAGTTCAATGGCTCATCACCAACTTTTAAGTAACAATAGAGAACAGAAGCTCCCAGATTCTAAATAAAATCTTCATCATCTTGTATTGATCAAAATTTTCCGAATTGCGAGAAGTCCAAAAGAACTTATGTCTTTGTTTTTTTGGATAAAGGTGGTGTCCAGGCCGGTCGCTCATCTCGACTATTCCACCGGGTACCTGATAATCCCAATTCCATTAGCACAGGTATAACCCTCCTTCATTGACTTCTACGCCACACCCATTAGCTCAACCCAAAGCAATTATGTCTACAAATCAGAGACCTCATATTATTAGCATCTATTTGTTATCTCCATTCCTCAAGCATTTCTGAATCTATGCAACTATATTTTACCACCAAACACCAAGCTACAGACTAGAAATCATATTCAAGAAGATACATAACCAGTAAGATGCATAAGAAAACATAGCAAAATCATATAATCAAAAGATGAAAACTAAAAGCATTTAAATATAAGCTAAATACCTGAATCTCCAACAACAAGCACCCTGACTTGTCCACAAGGTGGACCACCATTTTGCTCTTTAGTCTCCCTTTCCCTTTCCCTCCAAAACATCATCTCCTCTTCCTCCAAAACCCCAAATCAAAAATCAACAGAATACAATCCAATAAAAAGGACAAATTTTGAAACCAAACTAAATCAGCTAATCAACTCAAGTACCATAAAACACACTGAATCTCCACAATAAACAAGATTTGTTCAAACCCATATCACGTAACAAATACTACCCACAAAATGCTTCAGTTTCAAGAACCCATCTTGGCAAATACCCATATGATTCAAAACCGAGTACAGTAGATCTATTAACAAATCCTGAAATGGGTGATATTTAAATAGGTAATATTTGCATTAAGAGAAAGAAAAGAAAACGATTTGGGTTTTTTTGAGTTTCAATAGTATTTTTGGTTTTATATCAGTATATTAGTGATTTGCACTGGAAGTTATATTAGTCTATCTTGTGATTTACACAAGATACACTAGCTATTTACACAAGATACACTAGCTCTTTTTTGTCTCACAAATTTGTGACCTCAATTACACACAAATTAAAATTTTCAGTGACTGGACTATACTTTGTCAACTTTTTAGAGTAGATTTGTGTAGAGATCGAGCGAGATTGCTCATAAAGCGCTATGAAAAGAGTTTAGACGGTTGATGTGTCACCGATCACTGAATTGAGCAACAATCCATCCGTATAGATTGGTAGAAATGACACAACTAACCAGTCTAAGGGCTGTTATTTAGCAATGAATTTTAGTTTTTAATTTAATTTTTTCGAAAAGTTATCCTGAATTAATTTTAGTTTTAAATTTAATTTAATTTATTTTTAATTTAATATTTCAAGATAAAAAAAGTACTGGCTAATCTCTAAATTGCATCCATAAAAATGGCTATTTATACATTTGCCCCGTATAGACTGTTCATAAAGCCCAAAATGTTAGCTATGGCCCAAAATAACAAAGATAAGTTGGGCCAAAAAAGTGCTTCTATTGAGCCCAACAAAGATCTCCGAGAAGTAAAAATTGCACGGGGCGTCCTATTTGGTCGCCCTCATTTAATCTATATCTATTTTTTTATAAAATTTTTAATTTGTATCCACCTTTTAAACAGCTTCAGCCCCCTTTCTCCTCTTCCTTCTCATCCTTCGTTTTCTTCTTCTTCTTCTTTCTTCTACTGCTGTTGGTGCTGCTATGAAACTTCAGTTCATGGGATGATTGTCATATGTATGTTTATCAGATTATTTAAAAATAAATTATAAATAATTACGTAAGTTAGTAGACAATAATTTGTGAATATTTTCACGTACGGGAAGTTTAATGTCACACTTAGTGATTCTTTTCGTGATAATTCTATTCTTTTCACGTTTATTGTTTCCAAAATTTATGATTTAGATACTGTTGGCAATCTGATTATTTATCTAGTATGTTAGAAAGCTTGTTCAAAAACTTCAGCTTATATAGTGCTGAAGTTTTTACAAATGAACTAAATAACTTCAGCATCTTCTGCTGAAGTTTTTGAAAAAGCTTTATGACAAAACTAATGAATCCGGGACAAAAAAACTTCAACTTATTTAGTGTTGAAGTTTTTACAAATGAACTAAATAACTTCAGCATCTTTTACTGAAATTTTTGAAAAAGCTTATCCAGGACAAAAAAACTTCAGGTTATTTAGTGCTGAAGTTTTTATAAATGAACTAAATAACTTCAGCATCTTCTGCTGAAGTTTTTGAAAAAGCTTAATGACAAAACTAATGAATCGAGGACAAAAAAAACTTCAGCTTATTTAGTGCAATTACAAACAAAAACTTCAGCAAATAGAGAACAAAATTTTAGCTACTATGCTTAAATGCAGCAATTACAAACAAAAACTTCAACACACTTGGTTCAGTACACTTACTACTTCAGGCCCATATACTAGAATGCTGAAGTTTTGCGTGATTGTCTTGCTACTTCAGCCCCGTATGCTGAAGTTACGCGAAAAAGTGGGTACGCTTGCAATTTTTTTTTGCAAAGCGGGCACAAGTTAAAACTTGACCCAAAAAGCGGGTATAGATGCAAATGCCCCTCCGAGAACGGTCCAAGTATGTGTTCAATCGATCCAATTTTATCGAGTATTTCTGGGTTTTAGTAGCCAACTATCCAACCGTTTAAACTAACAAAAATAACACACACACATATATATAAGTGTCTAATCTATATATACTAGGCAATAAGTAAACAATGAATCCGGCGGACTATTTGTATAAAGATCCCTTCTTTCTTTTTTCAAAAACAAAATAAGAGGTTCAAGCAAGTGATATTTGTGGTTTCATATCGCTTGATTGGGATTGTTAATTTTATTCTATTTAACTAATCATATAAGCGTTTTATTTCTTTTTTTGTTGTTGAAATATGACAATATAAAGGGCTCGAAGTAACACTAATCCTTCGCTAAGACAAATTTTTTCAATATAACTACTTTTAAACTGTTATGGGTTGGTTTAATCTCTCTTAACAGACTTCTAAAATGACGACAAGACATCAAATTCTTGTTAGGGAAAGAGAGGAAAGAAAAACAAAGGAGTGACTGAACATACTTGAAGTGAAAATCTTAATACCTACACCATTTGACCTTAGCCTCTACTTAACATTAGAGCCTTGGGATTACTCACAAAATCTAAATCTCATTTTCATGGGAAAAACATGTTTAAAATTTTAAATCAATGTGACACTTAGAGCCCGTTTGGCTATGAATTTTTTTTTTACTTTTTTTTTTAAATTAGTGTTTGGCCATAAAATTTTCAATTTTCATTTGAAGATGAAATTTGGAATTTTTCGAAAATTTAAAAAATTCCAAAAGGCTGTTTTTAAAATTTTCACTCAAATCATTCATAAAAATTCAAAAATAACCCAAAATTATATTCATGTCCAAACACAACTTCAATTTTCAAATATTATTTTCACTTGATTTTTTTTTTTTACTTTTTTCGAGAATCTTACAATTCTTATGTCCAAACGCTCTCTTAGTAGCTTAGGTGTTTCCACCTTTTTACTTAATGTTTTTCAAAAGAAAAAGAGTATATAGTTCCTCAAACGAGCATTATGTAAGACACACAAGTTAACCCTAAATGTAACAGCAAGTTTGCTCAATCTAATATACTATGTATAGAATTGTTGGGCCATAAGGAAAGACACAAAGAGCTAAGCCCTTATCCTTATCAGGCGAACACCAAATATTTGGATCAAACTTAATTACAAACTTCATTTTTTTTTTGTCCAAATAAAATCCAAAATATTAGTAAAATGGAAGGACAAATAGAGGAAAAAAAATTCTAAAGGTGAAGATTATGAAGGCCATAAGTGGGAATGTTGGGAGGGAATTGTGTGAAGTGAAGAACACATGGACTCTCATGATTGTGAATTCCTTCATAGGTTGTGATGACATAGCTTGAGTCATCATTGTCCCTTTCAACTCTCTTCTTCACATTGCATCCTCCAGTTGAACATTTGTAGTAATTCCTGTTCATGTCCATTATATTAATTTGTCATAATCAGACTCAACTTATACACCAAACAATAACAAATTCACTGAATCACTATAATCCCATAAGTGGAATCTGGGGAGAGTAGTGTATTCGCAGTCTTATCCCTACCTTATGAAGGTAGAGAGATTGTATCTGATAAATCCTCGACTCAGAAAAAGCTATAGTCACAATATTATTGAAAAGAAAACAATAGTAAATAAATCATGGAAAAGAAACAGTAATACGAAAAAGTACCAACAACAACAAAATAATCGGATTGTATAGCCGCTGTAAAAATAATAGTAAAAAATAAATATAAAATTTGTATATTTTTGTATATATATACATTCTGTATGTTATATACAAAATTTACACAAGTTTTATACACTTTTTCGGCCATATGTAAATAGTTTCTAGCGCGGGCTAAAAGTGATAATACCCCTAAATAATAAGAAAACTAAAGCAAAAGAAACAACGGGTAACAATTAATACGAATCTAAGTATAAAAATATACGAGAATACTATTGATCATATGGGTAAGAAAAGGAGACACTCATGACTATCTACTAGGCTTCTACTCTAGTTATTGATCTTCACACCTTTGATCTTCACACCTGCCTATCTCAACTTATAATATAAATAAATATTAGACATATATATATAATTATTTTAGAAAAAAAATCAACAAAGATAAATTAGTATAACTTTTATAGAGTGAATTATGGACAATTTTCTTGGGTTCTCAAGAATTCAAGAAGGCATATAAATTACTGCTAGTGTACTTTTTTTGTCTTCTTAAATCTTGCTATAAAATATTAATGCGAATCGTTTTTGTGTTGGTAGAGAAAAGGCCGCTCTATAGAATGACATTTACATTATTTTTGTCAACGTTGAGTAAAATATCCTAAGCTAATGAAGGAAGAGTTTAAGGTCTCTATTTAGTGCGTTTTATTGTTTATTAAATTGAAATACCATTTTTGATTTAAAAGAGTTTACAAGATAGTATTTCTTAAAACATTATCCATCCTTACTTAAATGCCTCTAATTATATGTTTGATATGATAAAACAACGATGACAACTTACTTATAACAAGGAAAAGTAAACACTTTTATGTAGTTGGTCAAGTTCATTAGATAATTCAAATAATTAAACCAACTAATTCAATAGGACTAACAGATGTCGTAGCTGAGCTTGCTTGTTTTGTTTTATTTACTTATTTATTTAAGAATTAGAGAGAATGGTAAGAATGCTATAATTCAATATGAAACTCTAATCTTAATAAGAGTATTCTGGTCAACTTTAACAAATTGGTGTAGGACGTGCGCAATGCATTGCCCCNAGGCCAGTTAACACCAAGAAAGCTGGAAGGCACTGTTACTAATCTTTTTTTCATGCTAATAAAAGTGAGATAAATGATCTTCTCTTTTTTTTTTCATCCACTTCTGTTACTTGCTTCTAGGAGTGGCGAACAGGAGGGTCGGGTCGGATATGATTCAGATAAAAAACATATAATAAAAACGGATAAATTGATCCGTCCCGACTCATATTTAATACGGATAAAAAATGGGTTAACCGGCGGATAATATGAGTAACCATATTATTCATAATTTTTTGCATATGATCACTTTTGGGAGAATTCTTAGTCTCCCTAACTTCAGGAACCTCCGATTTGAAGCTTTACAAAGGTAAAAGTTAGACCCATTGGTTACCCATTTTCTAAATGGATAATATGGTTCTTATCCATATTTGACCCGTATTTAAAAAGTTTATTATCCAACCCATTTTTTAGTGAATAATATGTGTGGTTAACTATTTTCTTTTAACCATTTTGCCACCCATGCTTCTATCAACGTACAAATATAATTTCAATAATTTCTTATGACAATTACCAAATAAAGTTTATCGTCCAAAATAATATTTTTCTTAATTAAGTAACTATCAATGAGAAATATTTTCCTTAAGACCATTTTACGTCATATCAAACTGAGTAGTCTAGGCTTAGACGAAGAAAAAAAACACTAAGGACCTTTATCCAACGGCGAAGTCAGGAAATTTAATAAATGTGTTTAAATTTTGAGTATTGTGTTGTTAGAGTCGGACCTAGAATTTAAGCGCGACGGGAGCACCACTATATGCTAAGTACTAGTAATAAAATTCGACGTACACCAAGATGCTAATTACTAGCAATAAAATTCGGCGTGCAACTCTTTAAAAACTTAATGATTATGACCGATAACTTATCATCTAAGTATTAAAAAAAGGTTTTAAAGAAAGAAAAAGCATATAACAGAGAGATTTTTCGTAAAATAAGTGCTACGTGAAGGGAAGGTGTTTGATTTAAGTCTATTTCAAACTTTAAACTTTCTAGTTTTTTTCTCAATTAAAAAGGAGTCAATGATCAAAAGGGTGTTCAGACTTTAAAATTATCAAAAACTTACATAAAAAAATCAAGATTAATTAGGGTGTGTTAAGTAGTCAAGGAATTGAAGAAGAGTCTCAAACTCTCGGTTGCAGCCTTTTAAATGGGCCGACTCGACCCGGACCCGAACCCTTGACTCTTGGCCCATGGGTCCTCAACCGGGCCGGCTCACTTTCTTATAGTGGCCGGTCCGGATTTGACCCATTAATCAAAATATGTTGACCCGACCCGGACCCGTAACCCATAATCCCTTAACTCGAGCCCTTATGGGCCGAAATCAATTTAATTAAAAAAGTTAAAAACTAATAAACAATAAAAATTTCAAACTTTATACATATATACGAACTTGAAATTACTACATGTCCTTGAAACCCGTTAGAATAAAATGAAAGAAAAATCATACTTTGTTAACATGAAGACTTGAGAAACATATGGAATTCGATTATTTCTGTAATTAATAGTCTAAACCATACGGAATTCAACTATTTCGACAAGATGCCTCATAGTGTTTGGTACTATATTCTTTCTTCGATGTTTAGATTCATTTTTTTAACCACTTGTCTGAATATATATATATATGTGTGTGAGCTGGTCCGGGCCGGTTGACCTGTGGGTCAGCTACCGGTTCCGGTTCGGTCCGGTTCAGTGGATCAAAATATTATAGCCCGACTCAGGCCCATTAAATTAATGGGTTGGTCAGGTTAGGATTTCATTGGTTATGGGCCGGTTAACGGGTCAATTTTAATGGGTTATGTAGGCCGATTCGTGGGTCGACCTGACCCATTTGACAAGTTGTGGAGTCAGAGTTGACGATGCCCACTAATTTATCGAAGCGATTATTGAAGAAGGTTGTGACTGAAAATATTTATATTTTTTTATTTGTGGAGCAATAAGTTACAATTTGAAGGGTGAGATTTACAAAAGAATAAAATTAATTAAGTTGACCAGTATATACTAGTACTAAACTAAAGCTGATTTTAAAAAAATAAAATAAATTAGTTTGCTATTAAATTATGTTGAATTCAAATAAGTAAAACAAAAAGGAGTAAAAGCTAAACATGAGTTTCGAACCCACATCAGCCCCTAAAGGGAAGAAACCAAAGCACTATACTCAACCATTCATCCGGTCAAGTTTTTGTGTTTAGAGGCACACGTAAATTATTTAAGGGGTCCCAACTGTATTTACAAATATATTTAAAATATATATACATGGTTTCTGCCGAAACTAACGGGGTCTCGTGACCATTCAAGAGGCAAGGTAAGTCCGCCTCTGTCTGTCGTTGGGCTATGTAAGGGTATTAAAGTCTATTTTTATTAATCAATAATAAATAATATTTTATCCTATACACAATATAATTTTTTGGCGAAAAATATTCAATTGACCAACCTTGACCATATATAGCTTCGCCCCTGCCTCTACCCCACCATCACCAATCTTTTCGTCCTCCTTTGGAGGGGAGAGGGGAGAGGGGAGAGNAAAATGAGTAGATAATATTAACAAGAAAAAAAATGAAAACAAGAACAACTTATCCAAAAATACTGTGCCGTGGCAAGCCACTGCCTTGAAAGCGATTTCGGTCCGACTGGTGTAAATCGTTAAGACCAGTCACTCCCCAAGGTTCCACAGTACCTCCAAACACGTGCACTCGTGGCTGGAAGTTTAGAATTTGCACAAAACAATTGCCCAGAATTTGGTTGAAAAAGAAGAAAGATGAAGGTATTTTTTCTGTGTTTGAAAACTTCACAAAATAGCTCTTAATATAGATAAGATGCTAGAGCTGTTACAAGAAGGAGAATTTAATAGGGGGTTTTGAAATTCAAGTACCATGTGCGCGAGACCACTCCCTTTTACTAGCTCTTTACAAGCAAAGAGCAATTCAATATAAAAAAAAGAAAATAACTTTCCACAACCAATGAGGGACACTTTGTCTTGCACAAAAAACAGAGAAGTAAAGAAGGAAAAGGGACCACAATGAAATCTTTGGCTTTGCATTATCTAGATTAATAATACCAACAACCATATGAACAGGATAAAAATTACTATACGCACACACATATATATAATTGAATTCCTTTATAGAAAGAATACTTCTAGTGTAGATAGAAGTGAATCTTAAATTATTATACTTCGCAGATTCAAATTTTAAATATGGTATTCTTGTGTTTTTGTAAATCCCTCTTATTTTTGGATCTGCTAGTGCCCATAATGCAATACATACATATTAAGTTAGATGTGAAGATAAAGCTATATGAGTCTCAGCCCTCAGTTCCTGTCACACAAAATTTGATTTTTTTCCCTAGTTCGACAAGATATGAATGATTGGATGCTCAAGTTCCCTCTAATAATGGGTGGCCAACAGAAACAAAAAGCACGTACAACACTATCTTCTCTACTTGTCTACTGTCGGTTGTCCCTTTTTAATTCCTCTCCTATCCATACTATTTTTGCAACTTTGGCACAATTATATTCCACACCAAATTTTCTTTATCAAAAAGGTCACATTCGTCACATATATGGCCCTATCATAAATCATCTGTATTTTAGCTGGTGTATGTGACATGACATTATATTGTTCTTAGCTGTATCTGCTCAGAGAAAGTATAGAAAGCAATTCTTTTGCCACAAATATTTTTAGTTGTGACCCCTTTCAGTCATTACACTAATAATATTATTGAGAAGCTTTTCCCTTTTAGTTCCTATTAGTTGTATCAATTATGGTATTTCTAGCACTATAAAACTTATATATGGGGATAACTATTCTCAATGGATTAAGTTATTGTAGTATTTCTAGCACTCGAAGCCGTACATCATGATTGCAATCATTCATTGATGGGAATAAACAGTGACAGAGAGAGGAGAATTTGAGATTTATAAATTCTGAACTTGTCATTGAGTACATAATTCATTTTAATAATTGGATTCGTAAATTAATACATTGTCTAATAAAAAATTAGTGAATTCATCCGAACTATATATAATATTTTAGCTCCGCCCCTCATAAAAAGTCCCTATAGCTACAACTTGGGTTAGTTGACCACCTCCCAATGGGTACTAAAAAGGTTAAAAACGAATTGACCGTTTGAAAAACAGGCTTACATCATTTAGAATATTTTCATGTTTTATCTATTTCTAGTTTTATGGCGCTATAATCTTATGGGGACATGGGTGAATGTTATGTGTTAACGAATCTAATGAGACGATGAGTATAGGTTAAACCTAGGGGTAGCAAATGGGTGGGTCGGTTCGGATATGGGACGGGTCGAAAAAGTGTAATGAAAAAATGGATAAATTATTCAGCTCGAGCCATATTTAATACAGATAAAAAATGGGCTAACCGACGGATAATATTGGTAACCATATTATCCACGGCTTCTTCAATATGATCACTTTTAGGAGAATTCTTATTCTCCTAAATTTGAAATTTGAGGAACCCCCAATTTGAGGTTTTATAAATATAAAAGTTAAGCTCATTAGTTATCCATTGGATCTCCATTTTCTAAATGGATAATATGGTTCTTGTCCATATTTGACTCGTTTTTAAAAAGTTCATTATCCAACCCATTTTTAGTGGATAATATGAGTGGTTAACGGTTTCATTTAACCATTTTGCCACCCGTAGCCACACTCTTGGATGCTCAAATATTCTATAATTGGCAAAAAAGCGTGTTGTACGTAGCTGCTTCATTGACCTCACCATCTTTAAAAACGGATACAGAAAAAAGACCTAAACCTATATCAACCTGACATTATGGCTCAATCTCAAACTGATACGTGAACTTAATTTCTTTCTAATTTATACATATTTTATGCTTGATCGAGGTATCTATTATGTTAAGACTGCAAACTTTGTCCATTTCTAAATATAGTACTAGCATTTTGGTAAATGATAATGGATATGGTCACATATATGGATCCACCAAAACCAAATGGCTGCTAGCAATATAATATAAGAGCACACCAGTACCTATAAAAGTAGAGCAATGTTTATCACGTGAATCCACTATACTTAACAGTGATCTGGAAAACCATATATGTTTGGACTATTCCACTCTTCACTTCTTTATATTTGTGGTGTGGAGATAAGATGGCTATTCTGGTACTCCACTTAATTCATATAAATTCTATGGAATAACTAGCATACACTTAATTACGGCAAATGGATATGGAAGGTTTTAGGCTGCCTACATTATACGTTTTGGGTGCGACCCTTTCCTGAAACCTGTGTGAACGTAGGATACTTTGTGTACCAAGCTGTATTTTTAGTGAATGGCGTAGGATATATCTTAGTTCTATACTAACCTTAGCAATCATAGTGATATTAATAAGACAATAAGGTCTATTTACGACACTTTGCGCATGCAATAGCAATAATGATGAACTTATAATAGGAGAGAATAGAGATGGTACGGATTAGGTGAAAGTTTAGGAGATCATATGATTATCTCCAAGAGAATACTTATAAGTAAAAATGATACTTATATATAGTTCTCAAATTAACTTAGTTGGAATTGCTCCATTTTCTACTCTTTCTAACAATTGATGAAAAAAACACAATGAGAGTCAAGTAAATTTAAAAGCAAATTTATAAGTCTAGTGTGCTATAATCTCATGATGATAATAATAAGAGAATAAGAATAACACTATCCATGAATTCAAAAATGGGCAATATTTAAGAATATAATCATTCCTAGTGTCACTTACCTTGGATTTGGACTATTCTTGACCATCTTTTTGCCATACTTCCTCCATTTAAATCCATCATCCAACACCTCCAAGTCCGATTTAAATCTAAATGCAACCCTAGACTTTGCAATCACCTTGTTGTACTTCTTTACACCTTTTGTACATTTTCTGTCAAGAAAAAAAAAACAAATAAGATTCATAATTAACTTAATTTGAGCAATAAAATGCAATATATTTATCATAGGACTTGCATGTTATTAGTTGAACTTGGAGCGGGATTGGAATAGCTGGAAATACTTTGAATAAATTCAGAAGTCATTTCATTTTGTAACAAAAAATCATCATTCAATCCGTCGACAGGAAAGAGATAATCGGAGAGCTCAAATTCCGGCGTCTCAATAAAATCAGTAGCTCCATAATTAGGGTTAGGGTTTGAGTATTGAAAATTTTCCATTGTTGTAAGGGAAAGGAGAGGAAATGCGATGAACGTGTTTGAAGACTTGACAAGATGACTTTTCAAGACTTCTTTCTATTTATTAATATTTGCTCTTGCTTCCATTTCTTTATTATTTCTTTTTATTTTTATTTTTCTTTAAATTTTTTCCTAGAGTAACTTTCCTAGATTCTTTCTTGGTGGGTACAAGGAAGGTGCTTTTGTTGACACGTGGAAGCATTATGCAGGTCGTAGTGATGTCATAGGAATGATATCACCTTAGTGAGGACTTATGTTTTGTTTGTAATGCCTCTGTCCACAAAAATATTTTCCCAGTTTCACTTATTAAAATCGCTGTTCTATATGCAAATATAATCTACAGTAAACATATAATTGTCTATTGAAAATTTAATTCGTTAACTTACTAACAAAAAAATTACTCTTGTATACGTAAAAATTTCTTGCCTTGACAATATATTTAAGATAATTCAGTTGCTTATTGATATGGGACAGTAAAGGAATGAAGATAATTTTGCTGGAGAAAAGCTTTCACTTTTACTTTTTCTTTTCTTTTCGTACTCTTGCATTTATTTTCTTTATATTTTGATTGGTTGGCTAAGGTATTTTCGTGGTGATTGAGATAAGATAGGGTGTAAACTCTCTTTTCTAGTCTTATTTTAACATTTTCTGGAGATTAATATTCTCGTTGATTTGATTGTGTTTAGACCGATGACATGATGGATTAATAAATTCGCAAATCTTATCGCCAATCTACGGCATTTCACACAACTCTGCTTTTACATTTTTGATCCTTTACACATTAAGGTAGTTTAATGGGGAGCAGATCCGCTTTAGTGAAATTGCTTAATTAAGAGTCTGTTTGGCCAAACTTCTTCCATTTTAGAAGTGTTTTTTTTTTGGCGAAATACATAAACAGCCCTTCCAAGTTGTCCACAACGGTCAGTTGAACACCTCAACTAAGACCTTTTTCACTTAAACATATCACGTGATTAAAAACTGAACTCAATAAACACCCGATCTCACCAGCCCCCGTTGCGTGTGTTACACCTCTGGTGTCTTTTATAAGAACGAATTAGAAGCTGACACGTGGACAAACAATAAGAAATAAAGAATTAAAAACATAAAACATAAAGGTAAATTTTCATCGTTTCTTCCGTCTAATCGCTCTCTCTCACACCGAATAACCCATCTTCATCTCTTCGATTAAGCTTGGTTCAATCGGCATTTATGTTGCAAAATTAAATTCTTTCACTTACTAAGTATGATTAATTGTTCTTTGTTCGAATTGTAGCTTGGTTCAAGATTTATCGCCTGAAGGAAGATCATCCTAGGGTTTTGGCAGTGGATTTTTGTGAAAAGGGGAGTCATCTGTAAAGTGGCTTCGATTATTGCATAAATGTATGTTTATATCATGCTTTTTCTATTTTATCGCTATATGTCTGTTATGGTGCTATTAGATTAGGGTTTTTTTGGTTCTGGAAAATTGAAAATGTCAGGGAATATTGACTGGATTTGTTTTGTCATTTTCAGTACCGAGTCACATGGACGAATATATTGGTGTTGTTTTTCATTATGAGGGTCACTTTATTGATGAAAAGTATGTAGGGAGGGTGAAAAAATAGGGCATGTGGTGGACAAAGACCATTTCTCTTTGCCTGAGCTTGTGTCCTACATAAAAGAGACCCCTAAAATGCGCTACAACTCTGTTGGTGGGTTATTTGTTCAATGTACTATAACTCAGAAGTTCTTTCCAATTGAAAATAACTATCAACTACTAAATTTGATTAAAGACCTGAAGGATGGGGATCGCTTTGATGTCTATGTGAGTCATGCAATAGATAATTTAGAGGTTGTGGATGAGGATGTACCTGTGGGATATTTACCTTCCTCACCGGTTGGTGATAGTGATTAGGCTACAGAAATTAGGGGTGGTCCAGGGGTTAGTGTACATGTTGGTGAGGGCATTGGTGTAAATGTTGATGCGGGTATTGGTGTAAATTGTAATGAGGGTATTGGAGTAACTGCTGATGAGGGCATTGGAGTAAATACTGATGAGGGCATTGGAGTAAATTGTGATGAGGGTATTGGAGTAAATACTGATGAGGGCATTAGAGTAAACTGTGATGATGGTATTAGAGTAACTGCTAATGAGGGCATTGGAGTAAGTGTGGTTGAGGATATTGAAGTAAATACTGCTGAGGGTAGTGCTGTAAATGCAGAACAAACTAGGTCTACATTTTTAGATGGGGATATAAATGTTAAAGAGAGTGCAGCTGCAGAGCATGACAACTAGTTTAAGGATACAAATCTTGAAGATGAAGATGCAGATTTTGGTGAAGATGACCTTGAAGACATTCCAGAAGAAGATGACAATGAGATAGATGATGGGTTAAGATCTGTGAGGGATGCTGCCAGGGAAGTAAAGAGAAACAAGCTGAAGAGCAAGGTGAATGATGCTGGATCACAAAGTAATAGGAAATAGAGGAAAAAACCTATTTTTACAGAAGAGGTAATTCTTGGTGAGGCTGGAATTGATAAGGGGTTTGAAGATATAGGGATAAATAAGAAGGATAAATATGTTGGAAAGCTAGGTGGGGATGAAGAGTATTTGGACAGCTCAAATGTTGGGAGTGTAGACAGTGACGAAGAGTTAGACCCACTTGCTGAACATGGTGTTGATCTTCCTCCTAGAAGAAGAAGTCAAAAGATCAGGTATGACTTTGATGCTAAAATTCCTCTGTTTGAGTTGGGCATGATCTTTGATAATGCAACAAATTTTAGGAAAGCTATTGCTGACTATGCTATTCAATATAAAGTATCTGTAAAGCTTAGACCTAATGAGAAAGATAGAGTAAAAACTAAGTGTAGGCATGAAAAGTGCAAGTGACAAATATTTGCTAGTAAGGATAGGGATTCAGGGAACTTTACTGTGAAGACTTATATACCTATCCATAAATGCCCAACAAAGAACAAGAACAAACTTTGCACAACCAAGTACATTGCAAGAAAGCTCCAAGATAGAATCATCTCAACTCCAAACATCACAGTGCATGAGTTGCAAGAGGTTATAAGGGTTAAATGGGGTTTGTATATAGGAAGATCACTTGTATATAGAGCCAATATGAAGGTAATTAGTTAGCTTATGGGTGACTGGAACCTTGAATTTTTTAGGTTGCCAGACTATGCTGACATGATTAAGTCCACCAATCCTGGAAGTTCATGTTGGGTGAGAACTGATACAGAAACAGTTCCTGCGTTGCTAGACTGTTTAAATACTTTTATGTATGCTTTGAGGCTATGAAGAAAGGATGGATGGCAGGTTGTAGAAGAATCATAGGTTTTGATGGTTGTTTCCTAAAGGGAGCTTGCAAAGGTGAATTGTTAGTGGCTGTTGGAAAAATGGAAACAATCAGATGTATTCCATTGCTTGGGCTTTGGTAGATCAAGAGACTACACATTCATGGAGTTGGTTCATCAACTATCTCAAAACAGATTTAGAGTTGAGGAATGGTGAAGATTTATCAGTCATGTCTGACATGCAAAAGGTACTGCAATTCATTTATTATGTTGTTTGTTTGTTACCATTATTATTCTTGCTGATGTTGTATCTCACTAATATTGTATGTTGCTACTGTGTTGATTAGGGACTATTATCTGCTGTTGCTGATTTGCTACCCCTTGCTGAAAGAAGAATGTGTGCAAGACACATTTGGGCAAATTGGCAGAAAACTTGAAGGGGAGAGGAAAAAAGGAAGTAGTTTTGGCTTCTGATATATCACCTATAGCAAGACTAGTTTTAGAGGAGAACAAAGAAATAGGAAGGAAGTTGAAAGTACAGTGGAATGATGATACTGGATTTGAAGTGAATGAAGACATGTATAAGCACACTGTTGATATACAAAAAAGAGAATCCAGCTGTAGATTATGGCAGTTAAGAGGTATACCATGTCAATATGCAATATATGCCTTTTATAAGATTGGGAAGGAAGCAGAAGACTATGTTGAACACTAGTATAGGAAATATACTTTCCTGGTTGCTTACCAATACTATATTCAGCCAATTCCAAGCATACAAATGTGGACTGAGTCTACCAATCCATTAATTGAGCCTCCTAAAGTTAAACCAATGCCTAATATGCCAAAAAAATGCAGAAGAAAGGACAAGGATGAACCAAAGAAGTGGGGAAAACTATCAAAGAAGGGTGCTAAGATGTCCTATTCAATTTGCCATCAAGTTGGTCACAACAAGTCAATATACAGTTTAAGGGTAAGTTTGATGACTTTCAATTCAATTTGTTTCCATTGTTTTCATTATTTTCATAGTACTTTGATTAATGACTTAACAATCATATGCTAGGGACAAACAAGCACACAAGTTGGTAGTCAAAGTAATACAACCCAAGCTGCAGGTACATCAACTACCATAACCCAAACTCCAAGGGCCTCATCTTCCTTGTATGCTGAATCATCAAAGATAAGAAGGAACACACCATCACTAAGAGGTAGGGGAAGAGGTGGTAGAGCTGGTAGGGGAAGATGTGGATGAGGTAGGGGAAGAGGTAGAAGTTCAGTTGCTGGTACAACTAGTTTTGTTACATCTGGTGCAGCTATTTCTGCTACTGCCAGATCACTTACTGCTTCTGTTGGGAAGAAAAGAACCAAAATTTCTGGTTTTGGTTTATACACAGACACACAAACAGGGACTAGTATCCTTAGTGTAAGTGTGAGAAGTCAATATTAGTTAATTGTAATTTCTATCATTATGCTTCTAGATGATTCATTACTGACTACAAGTATTTTCTAGCCTGGTACGCCAAGTGAAAGAGTTATTTCAACTGGTGCAAACTTAATGAATGCTGCACAAACTAATGTATATCTTGGATTTAGACCAAATGGTCTCAAGTGGAAAGGGAAAAGAGCTGTGATAGGGAATCAACTTCAAAAGAAAAGGGATGCTGCAATTTCTAACAAAAAGATGAAAGTTGGAACCTCTACTTCATCTACACCAATTAACTCTTGTCAAAGTCAAATTTAGGAAGAAGTTT